ACTATAAGGTTACATAGCTGTTTCCACATTACGCAGTAGTTCCAACGTACTGTTAACTCTGTGTGTGGCTTAAGGTTATGCAGCTGTCACCGCTATGCCGTCGACACTGTGTTAGCTCTTGTGCTCGAGTGCTTATGGTGTTGTGCTGCCCTGTCCAGTGCAGCCTTCGCCTCATTGCAGTGGATGCGCAACTTGGTAAGCCGGAGCAGACGTTGGTCTAATTTCGCCTATCAGTTTTGAGTGCTCCTAGCGGCGCTGCTGGCTTAGAACTGTTGTTCCTGTGGGAGTGTAGCTTGACCCCGTTCAGGGCTTATCTTCACTGCGCTCACGGCGGAATTCTATACAGTTCCCATATACGTCAGTATGACGTAATGTCGAAGTGACCGCCTTGAAAGGGAACGTCTCCGGTTACTATCGTAACCTCGGTTCCCTGAGAGGCGGGAACGAGACATTACGTCAACCGCCGTGCTCGCCGTTTGATCAGCTGTGCTAGCGTTCAGTCTTGATTCTGACGTAATTGTCGCGCCCATGCTTTTTATACTGCCCGCGGACCGGTCAGCATTTGCATGTTTTGCGTCAATTGGCCAGCTGTCTCCAGCTGGCGTTAATCTATAAGATTTCAGTGAAAATGGAGAAGGGGAGGAGTTCCCATATACGTCAGTATGACGTAATGTCTCGTTCCCGCCTCTCAGGGAACCGAGGTTACGATAGTAACCGGAGACGTTTTGCGGACCCTAGTTTGAAAACCCCTGCTCTATAACATCAGCACTCACATGCATTGCACATATATAGTTACTTTGAAATTGGACATAAGGTTGTTCGTTGGGTGAAATGAGAATAAAGGCTCAGTTAGCATATAACTTTTATGGGTTTCTATTGAACCAAAGACCTGAATGTGACGTCCCTTTTTAAAGGAACCAGTAGAGATGTTGATGTTCCTGGTGCGATCCGTGTGTGCAGTGAAAAACATGAGTCATAGTGCTGCACTAGGATCTACTTGTATTTATGGGTGGGGACTGGGGAATTGATTGATCGATTGTCACTGTTCTTTGATTATTTTTAAACCCAGTTCAAACATGACAGGCTATATGTATTCTTCTGTGATAAACTCTGAAGCTTTTCACTAAACCATCATGGGATGACAAATGACATTTGAAAGCAAACATCAGTGGTGTTCTGAAGTGAAAAAAAAAAGAAATGTAAATTATGTCCCAGTTACTTAATGTTGTCACATTTTCCTGGTTAAATATTACATTTAAAAAATGATGTTTTGTATTTTTTACATTAACAATGTAATTAATGTTCTATTTATTAAAACCAAGTATAAATCTCATTAAGTTAAGCATTGTTTTAAGCATTTTACATTTATTCCAAAATAAAAAAGGCAGCAACAATTTAAACAATACATTTTATTTGTACACTGATGTTCAGCTGTTCTTTTTAATAGTAATCACCACAAAACTATGAACTTATTTTCATTAGTCATCAAGCTTGTTAAACACTGGTCACAGACACGGAGATGTACGTTTAATTTCACCAAGCTATTTGCTCACTAAAAAAACCCACAGTCATCAAGTTTTCAGGTCATTTCAAGTTTGATTTTGACGTGACATAAAGCGGTCATATCTAAGTGGCTGATATGACCCTTCCCATTAACGCCTTCATTTTGTTCATTCAGACTGATTCCCGAATGCGGAACACGCACAAAAGCAAGAGGTGGGGTTTAGCGTGTGAGCAAATCATGGCGCAATTGAGGCATTGCCTCCTCTCATGTGACTTTCCCCCATTCATTCTCAATCCCCTTCAAAAGTCAATGGGCTCAGGGGAGGCACGAGAGACGTGGTGTCCCTCTGTAACTTTGCCTGCTGGTATCGCTGTTGGACAGTGTTCCTTTAGAAAAAAAGCAACTTATTTATCCACTTTTTTATGTCACATTTTGTAATATATCTTTGCTTTCTTTTATTTGTGTAATATGGATTATTTTCTCATCCAATCTTTTTGAGGAGGCACTGCCTCCCATGGCTCCCCGGAGGAAACTCCCCTGGCAAACATGCTATGTGGCAAGCTGTCTCAATCATATGAGTGACCACCATCCCTTTTAATGTAAATAATAATGATTTCATAGAGCAGTTTTTCTTGTACATCTGGTTCAATTTCACAAATCTTTTATGATAATGTACTGGATCAAGAATTCCTGTTTGGTTACAGTGTTTGTACTTTCCAGAAAGACCGGCTCTGAAACGGATATGTTTGCTTTTGTTCAGTCCTCCTCACTCTCTTAATACTCCTTCTATGTGTATGAAGATAATGTGAGAGAATGCCCAGGAATTGGAGTCTCCTTCAGGCTTATCCACAGTCATTTAAGTGAAAAGAGTTTGTGTGTGTGAGCACTAGAGGAAGGTGAGATAATGCTTTGGAAATAGAGAGCGCTCCACCCTGTGCAGCCCCTGGGACTCTGTGTATGTGTAAGTGAGATGAGAAAATAGTTAGGGAAGAAAGTGCCTCAATTAGAACTCTGGAAAATGTTCTCTTCTCACAGGAGATCGGCCTCAGTTCTGTATCAGCACTGTGTCCGGCCCATATTGGCACTTTTCTACTTCGTTATCGGTTCCCAAAACAAAATTGAAAATAAATTTGCGACAGTATGTAACTTTTAATTAAGACAATCATTATAATATTATAGAATGTATTCATGTTTTATTATTTTTAATAATGTTTAATTGTGTTATTAGTTATTATTATTATAGTCTCAAAAGCAAGAATAAAATGATTAAAGGGGTCAAGATGTGGATTTTTTTATATATATATTTTTTAATATTCCTTGAGATTCACTTATAATGTTAATGTTTTTTGCAAAAAAAACAAAACAAATATAAATCCGGAAAAAAATATTATTTTTAACCCTCTGTCTGAAATAATCTGTTTTAAAGGGCGGCTCCTTTTAATGCTTGTTAGTAAACATTCACTGTTATGATTGGCTAACATCACTGCATAGGAAACAGTATCAACACCTGCATGCGAGTAAGTGTTTTGAAAACATTCACCATATAAAACCATAATTTACAGACAAAGCAAAGCATTATGAAATAATTAACTTGTGGTTTGTGATGCAGCTGCTGTCAGATCCAGTACAGTTGGCTGGTTCTTTCAACAAAAGTTTATTTGCAAACTCTCTATTACACTACCTCGTTCACAAAACAAAATGCTCCAAACAAACATATAATCCTTCAATGCCATTAAAATAAAACCATCCACCTGTTTCTGACGCTGGGATCCTTCTGAAGTCTACAAAAAAAATTACATTAATTATTAGCTTTTTATCAACTCACTAACCCCCTGCAGTTCCCTCATGAACCCTTATTTTGGGAAACCATGGAGTTCAGGAACATGCTTTTTCTGGCAGTCACAAGTCTTCCTCCTCTGTTCTTAGCTCATTTGTCGATATTTAAAATCTGCACATTTTAACTGGCTTAATACTTGCGGCTACAGAAAATGCATTTTACAGACTGTAAACCAGCGGCTCGTGAAAGGCTGTTAAACTTTTTATTTCCCCTGTCATTCCCTCTAGACTTTGGACATCATAAGACAGTCATTAACCCTGATATTGCAAACGACTCCCTTCTTTTTGTCATGCATTGCCATGTTGATTGATAACAACATTAAATTTTGTAGTCTTAAGTTTTTTTGCACAACATTTTACATCTTGTTTTGTTGATAATGTTCATCAACTAAAAAAAAAAAAAAAAAAAAAAAATATGATTAAATGAATTGCCATAAACTGATGATTGAACAATTATGTAGGCTACTTCTAGTCTCAACAAAGATATGGGATAAGATATGGGACACTTATGATTTGACATTGCCCTGACTGCATAAAAACAAGGTAGCACAGTAGTCAAAGATTAAACTTTATAGATCAGGTGAGAAAATGAATGTAAATTGTTGTCATAGTGGCTGTCTGTGCAGTATGATGGCTGGAAGGGTGTGGTAGTTTGTGTAGTTTGTTCCAGTACTGGACTGGTCCTGACCTGCTCTTTTTGTCCCCGGGGGTCTTAAGTGTGTACTTTTGATGCAAGTTTGTTTTTTGCGTACCAGAAATCTCTGAAACAGTGTTATGTTATTAAGGCATTAATTGACTTCCCCTCAGCCCAAACTCCATGGAAGAGCTTATAGTTCGGAGCCAAAGAGTTTGCAATCTTTCTTAGTCACTTTGCACTTTAGCAGAAGCTGAATCTGCAGTCTTTGTGTTGGCAGTCCAGAGCTTTAACCATTAGGCTACCATCACCACAATTGGATGGTATCTGTGTTTTGTTAAAGGGCGTTCACCCTCTTGTGTTGTTGAATGCATTTTTTTAACCATTTCCCCCCAGTCCTTAAAATAATAAATATATTTTTTGTTAAGCCATAGTTATCACCTTGCCTTTTAAAGGCCAAAAATAATCCCATCATGCCAGTTCTTCAGGAGGTGCACTAGGATTTGCTTTAAGTTGTTGGCTGTGATCATGAATTTGTTGGTTGGCATGTGTTGTTTGCAGCCTGCTGATGTCATCATCACAGACACAATATATGCATGTTTACATTGAGAATTGTCAAAACTGTCTACCAAGACAATGTAAGTGCACGGAGTAGCACAAAACACAAAGGTTAACGAGTATGCTACAGTAGTGCTATGTTATGACACAGAACTTGGAGCAAGTTAAATGAATTGTTTTCTCACTGGTGTAGTATACTGCCACAGCCCACATATGCTATTAATGCTGGAGTTTTTAAATAATTGTACAATTCAGTATTTGATGAGAAAAGCCATATTTTTACTGGCCATATGTTTGGTCATTCCCTCGCTGCTTGTCAGCTGATCAATTCAAGCATTTGTATTCTGTAACAATTTAGTCTGTTCCATGTTTTGTGACGGTAAACTTTTGAAAACCTAAAAAAAAGATCTAATGGTACTTTGTCCTAAATGGTTCTAAATTTTATATTTGTTTTTCTCCTATCTACAGGGTAAACCGTATGCGTTTGACAGAGTTTTCCAGTCCAACACGTCTCAGGAGCAAGTGTACACGGCCTGCGCTCAACAAATCGTCAAAGGTAAAAGCAACATGTCTCATGATAGACCTCCGAATCAAAGCAAAAAGGCAGAACATGCAATGAGGCTTAATCATGAATGTGTTCCCACAGATGTGCTTGGTGGATATAACGGAACCATTTTCGCCTATGGTCAGACGTCATCAGGCAAAACGCACACAATGGAGGTGAGCGAGAAATGTTGAAATATCTGAGCTGTGGTGAAAAGTCAAGAATTAAAATTAACTTCAAGAATTATGTGCAAAATCACTTTCACATACTCGCATATGATTATTTTTTCCAAATCTTATCTGTAGATGATCTTTAGGTTCATGGCCAAATGCACCTTTATGTTTAGGGTTGTTTGATAGCAGTGAAGTGTAATGCAGTGAAGTGACTTTATTCATAATCAGGTTCAGTTTATTTATATCATGATTCATGACACTTTATACAAAACAAATAGCTTCAGAGCTGCTTTACAGTGAAAATCAGTGTAAGTGAAAACCTTCAACCTGTTTGAGGCTTAAGGTGTTCAGTATATACTATACCATGTCAAACTGTTTATCAAAGCATTTAGAAATTAGAATGATTTCTGAAGGTTCATGTGACACTGAAGGCTGGAGTAATTATGCTGAAAATTCAACTTTGCCATTACTAAAAAAAATAGAAAGATCTTTTAAATAGCAATAATATTTCACAATTGTTCTGTTTTTGACTATTTTTGATCAAATAAATGCAGCCTTGGTGAAAGATTCTTCTTTCAAAAACATAAAAAATCTTGCTGACCCCAAACTTTCGAACGGTATTATATATCTGAACAAAATAGTGGTGCAAACAGGCTGTTTTAGGCAAGTAGTGTTGTAAAGAATAGCTTGTTTTATTCCACTTTTAAGACTGAGGTATTGTGGTTGTTCTCTAGGGAAATCTTCATGACACAGATGCAATGGGAATTATTCCCAGAATAGTACAAGACATCTTTAACTACATTTACTCTATGGATGAAAATCTGGAGTTCCACATTAAAGTAAGTTATTGCCTTAACACAATCTTTCATTTGCGCTTTCTTCTCATTCATTGGAACCTTGTTGCATCATTTCAAGTTGGATCCGTTCTCTTGATGGTATGGTTTAACTTTGACAGGTGTCATATTTTGAGATATACCTGGATAAGATTCGGGACCTATTGGATGGTGAGTGTGGAAGTGGTTCTAAGCCTCACATCTACCAACCAATTGATCTCAACATAATTAGAAATGATTTTAAGATGATCTTAAATTCAAAGGTAAAAGTATAATGCTGCTTTCATTGTGCCATAATATCTTTCTTTCTCTCTCTCTTTGTCTTGTAGTTTCAAAGACTAATTTATCAGTACATGAAGACAAAAACAGGGTTCCTTATGTCAAGGTGAGTTCCTGAAACCTGGGCATCAGTGTCCCATTAAAATCTTAACGCAAAGTGGTAAATGCCACTGATCTTTAGAGCATACAAGTTGTTTGTTATAATTGTCTTTCTGGTTTTAGGGTTGCACTGAGCGATTTGTTTGCAGTCCAGACGAAGTGATGGACACTATTGACGAGGGCAAATCTAACAGACATGTAGCTGTGACAAGTATGAATACACAGACACAAAACAAAGAATGTATTCAATAAAGAGAATAAAATACAATTATCCATCCATAAACAGACACTGAACTGTAACAGAAACTATAACATCTGTATTTTTCTCTTGACAGTTTCAGCTTTTAAACAGACAATGTAAGGTGTGATTATAGTTGTAATAATGTCTTCTATGTGTGTGTCTTAGACATGAATGAGCACAGCTCCAGGAGTCACAGTATCTTCCAGATCAATGTGAAGCAGGAGAACACTCAGACAGAACAGAAGCTCAGTGGGAAACTCTACCTGGTCGACTTGGCAGGCAGCGAGAAGGTGGGTGTGTGTTAAACTTTAGTCTTGTAGTTCAGTAAAACATGAGCAGAGTGTGTTGAACTCTTGCATTCTCTCATAGGTCAGTAAAACAGGAGCTGAAGGCGCAGTGCTGGATGAAGCCAAAAACATCAACAAATCTCTGTCATCCCTGGGCAACGTGATATCAGCCTTAGCCGAGGGTTCGGTGAGTCACATACTCACGCTCACAGGCTTTAGATCAGTTCTGTACACCCTTTGTTTCTAGTGTTTGGCTCCTAGATAAGTGAGGATAGCTTGTATGAGTTCAGAGATTCATTTCAGCTTTGTCCAATTCAGTTTTCTGATCTTATAACCAATAATGCTACTTGCCTAAAGCCAATGAAAGGACAATGCAAAATAAAATATGAAGTAATACAAAATACTGTCATTAATTCGATTTGGTGTGTGGCATAGTTCTCACATTATTCTGTAGGAATTGTTACTGTAAGTCGCTTTAGATAAAAGCATCTTTAAAATTATTACTAATTTATTTAATCAAATACAATACAGAATTAAAGAACAAGTAAAAAATAAAGTATGATACTGATAGTGAAGATTTGGTGTGAAGTAGACCAGGCCAGACTGGAAACAGTGTTCCTCACATGATGGGCAGCACAGCTGTACTGTGCTTTTAGTACACAGCAGACCTTGTGTTCTCTTCATAGGCTGGACAGTTTAAAGCTGTCATACTCAGGACCAGCTGAGCGAGCAAACTCTTTTCTGTGCTTCATTCTTGGTATTGCAAGGCCTTATTTTAGTCTGAGCTATATTGGAGAAGCTAAATTGAAGCTGGGATCAGACCACACAATATTTTTTTGTCTGTTACGATAGTTACTGTCAGTTTATGCAATTATTTTTGTCGTGGATGTCACAATTATAACATGTCATACACGCATTGCTTGCCGTCTTTAACAACGTGCGTGGTGTCAGAGAAGTCAGAACAAGCGACTGACTTCTAGAAACAAGAGTGTAAGCAAACAATGGCTACTGAAGCAGCGTGTTTTGTACTGGCTGTCTTGCTAGCTTAATACTTATTCCAATACTCACCGTGTTGTTAAAGCACCTCCACTATCGTTTGCCAGCATTTATCTTTTTTTCACTCTGTTGTGGTAGTCCCTCGAGAAAACATCATAAAGGCAGGAGTATTGTTTCCATAGCTCCGCGAACCTTTCCTTCATTGCATAATTCCAATTAGCAGCACCAATATCATCGCCTCTTTCGTTTCGCCATGTTTGAAAGCTGTGTACGGAAGAGCTTCTGTGCTCCTATTGTATTGGTCAACGTCACAGATGTGACACGTACTACTCTTTCTGTCCGGACATCGTGAAGCGCCACAGATGCCGCATCTGTTGCCGTCCACTATGACATACTATACAAAATAAAACGATCGATTCTTGCATCCAGCTCGTCACGACACGCCCACAGCGAACGCGCGTCACACAGCAACGGCAGGCTCTGACAAACACAGATTATACTTCTGCATAATGTGTCTCTTTACAACAAAAATGTGAATTCTGCCGGTAGTCAGACAGTCTCATGCATACAGATACAGATTAGGGCTACGGGCTACAATCGCCTACGTAGGTGAAATTTGTTTGACATTTCTAATCGTATACACAGCCATGTTGAAGCCTGCAGTAATGTTTTTCATTGATGTTATGGCAGTCCACTATGCTTTTTGTTACTTGTTTGTCATTGTGCACGAAACTTCACGCCAATAAATCATCAGAAATATTGCTGACTTGTGCGCGTCTCAAGCGCACTCTTTACGTTCGTCCTAATGCCTGTTAGTTGTCCATGGATTTGCCTATATTTGGCGCTGAAAATAGAAACGTCTTTAGATGTGGAAAATCGATTTTACAATCGATTCAGTAAACACTTATGTCTCAAAAATCGATCAGGATTTTTTCACAAAAGTGACAGCCCTAATATCGTGTTGTCTGAACCCGGCATAACCAAAACTTGCATGCTACATTGAAGCTACATTGAAGCTACTTAGAGGGCAATGCATTTGACCCGTAATGAACAAATTACATTAAAAACAGAACATATTATCATAGACACAATCTGATATCAATTCAGGTGGCAGAATCAATCTGGAACATACATTTACATTTAAATACATATAATTATAGATATTATAATATTAAACATTTTAATTAATGTAAGTTGATCAAAAGTAGTAATTTAAATTTTGAACATTTTCTTTACATCAATAAAGAGCGCAATTTTGCTAATTGTCTTCTGGGAATGCCTTTGAGTAAAAGACTGTTGTAGTCCTGAAACTTAATCACACATTTAAATCTGTTTTATTAATTTCCGTTGATCTAATTCTGTCCGGAACCTCTCTTTGTTTCTCTCTCAGGCGTACGTTCCTTACAGAGATAGTAAAATGACAAGGATCTTGCAGGATTCTCTGGGTGGGAACTGCAGGACCACCATTGTCATCTGCTGTTCTCCTTCCTCGTACAATGAGGCTGAGACCAAATCCACTCTTATGTTTGGACAGAGGTGAGGAGATGCATTCATATTTGTCCATCTTTATCACTTAGTCTTTTCTCTCCATTCATAATAAAGGTGTCACTGTCATTGGTGTCATTTATGCAAGAATAATTACAGCTCTTATGTATTTATGCAAACAACGGTGTGAGGAGAAAAACACCAGAGCTGTACAGCTGTGATTGTGTTTGTGTGTTTGCAGAGCCAAGACCATTAAGAACACAGTGAGTTTGAATGTGGAGCTAACAGCAGAGCAATGGAAGAAGAAATATGAGAGGGAGAAAGAACGGAACAAGAGCCTGCGAAACACCATCACATGGCTGGAGAATGAACTTAACCGCTGGAGAAACGGTCAGATGACCATTTGTTTATTTTTATGTTACATTTGTGAAACAGTTTTGTTATTGCATTCAAAACTTTTTTAACAGTTGTTTATTATGCAGTGACATCCAGTCTGAAACCACTTGTGAAATGCTTCTATTTTGCATTCTTGAATCTTAAATTTTTTATATGATTCATTGTACATCATAACTTTTATTTAAAAACATTTTTTTAACTGTCCTGAAATATTACATTTAGGTTTAAACTTTTGAAAGTGCACCTCTGCAGTTCCTCAAGGTTCTCTCTGTGTGTCCTCCAGGTGAAACGGTACCTGCAGAGGAGCAGTACGATAAGGAGAAGGCTAATGCTGAAGTGTTGGCGCTGGATAACACAATTAATAATGATAAATTTGCATCCACACCAAGCATGCCACCTGTGCCAGGAATGCTCGGGGCCCGACTCACCGATTCTGAGAAGGATAAATGTGAGGTTGAACTCACCAAACTGTACGAGCAACTTGACGACAAGGTGCAGACATGCATGTTACATAAAAATGAAGCAGATTTCTGTCATCTATCTAATGATTCTGGGTGCTTTCACACTTGCACTTTGTGCGCACCTGGATGCGATTTGACATCAGATTTCAGTTTGCTTGGATGATGTGAATGCTGTTTTCCAAACTTGGGTTGCGCACACGTGAACTGAGCCCAAGTTCGCATTAAAGAGGGTGGTCTGGGGTGTACAGTTCATGTGAACTCTAGTGCGGTTCGCTGCTGATATGAACACTATCGTACTAAATTGCAGCAGTGAACCGCTATTGATGGCGTATGATTTGATCAAACTTGTGTTTTTGTATGTTTTCAGTTCTCACTCACTTTCCTGACAAGCGCACTGCAAGCAGAGAGAAAGTGTTTCTCATTTGTGCTCGCCTTCAGTAGAAACGGATTCCCGTGTTCTTTAGAACGTTTGCAGTATATTCGCGGCAGATAGACGCAAGTGCCATTTGTGTGCTGACACTTTTGAAACAAAATCAGAGGTTCAAAAACCAAAATATAAAAGTGTTGAGAGCAACGCCATGCATTTTGCTGCCTTCTCCTGCGTTGTTGTTGCCAAGAAACAGTGGTAAACAGCTGCTGGATTGATGACACAAAGGCTATGTCAGTCCAAATTCGATTATATATGTATCCAATTGGAATCTGATCTAAATTATAGACTGTCCACACTGAGTATTGCAACTGTTCATATCCGATTTGTGTGTTCTGTGGCTCTCTTTTGTTTTCCGGAATATCTGCATTGGTTTTTCTATGGCAATAACGTTGCATTGGTAGGCATATGCCAAACACAACAACAACAACAGCAGCAGCAATTTGGAGGGGCTTGCAATAGAGATGTTTTGTCTTATTTACAACATGTCAATATGTAGCGGCTGTGCTGGACTACTGTGTCTTCTGAGGCAACGGCAGACACGTAGGAGGCTGGTATGTGCAGCTTTATTCCATGCTGTCATTTCTGCCTGTCTGAAAACATGTCTTCATGTTTAGGCTATTGTAATCGTCTACTTGACCGGCACTTGCAACAAACAACCTTATTTCTGCATATTTCCATGACATGCTCATGTTTTACATGGCGTGAGAAAGTTACATAAACCACACAAAATCCGATCCCAGTGGTCAGACTGAAACGGATTTCCAGAAATGCAATTTGAAGGGATTTCAAACCACATATGAATTATATATTGCTCACATTTTATAAATATGACCGGATTCCAGTCAGAGATGTGCAAATATTGGATTTGGACTGACAGTAGGAGCAGGGGATAGGGGGTAGCAATCGAACTCTGGTTCAGATCAGGCAATCGAACCTAGTGTTAAAGCACCCTGAATCTACAAAATTTCCTTAAAAGGACCACAGGCACTATAGATAGTTAATCCATGGTCAGTTTTCATAAAGACGATGTTAGACTTTTATTATCACAAACATATTCAACTTGATTGACAGCTTGTTTTTTTCTCATCTCTCTCCAGGATGAAGAGATTAATCAGCAGTCTCAGTTGGTGGAGAAGCTTAAGCAGCAGATGTTGGACCAAGAGGAGGTTAGTGAGCTCTCATGTGCACATATTTAAATGAATATTAGTAGGTAAACACTGTATATTCATGCTCATATATGATTATGTCTGTGTGTTGTAGCTGCTGGCCTCGTCACGACGAGACCATGATAACCTGCAGGCGGAGCTGAATCGTCTGCAGATGGAGAACGATGCGTCTAAAGAGGAGGTGAAGGAGGTGCTGCAGGCACTGGAGGAGCTTGCCGTCAACTATGATCAGAAGAGTCAGGAGGTGGAGGACAAAACCAAGGAGTTTGAAGCGCTCAGTGAAGAACTTAGTCAAAAATCTGTAAGTGCCAGAAGGGCTAATAATATATCAGTCTTTTGCTTACGGTCGGAGAAGAATGACACTAAACTTGACTTTAAAATGCTCTCTGTCTCAGAGCACCCTGGCATCTATAGACTCAGAACTGCAGAAACTGAAGGAAATGGCAAATCACCAGAAGAAGAGGGTAACTGAGATGATGTCGTCACTGCTCAAAGATTTGACTGAGATTGGCATTGCTGTGGGCAACAATGACATCAAGGTGAATGACATTTTTTTGTTTTGTTTTTTGTTTAAGGTGACGTGTAAGTTCTGCCAAAGTAGAATCGGCAAACAAAATTTTAAACACTCCCCCATTTACTATTGGTCAGTTCAGACCGGCCCCCAAACTCACACCAATGTTTTAACCAACGTTGCTGTGTTTTTGATGCTTAAACAGAAATTATATAAAGTGCCCCTATTATATGTTTACAAGGTCAAAAAAACACTTAATTTCATCACCTCTTTTTTCAGTGTCTGAAACGGTTCGATAAAGGATTCAGTCTCTCTTAACTAGGGTTGGGTATCGAAACTCGGTACCAATAAGGAACCGGTTCCGACTTAAACGGTAGTAACCAGACCGAATAAGAACGACAATTTCGGTGCCTGATTTCGGTGCCTAACTTTAATCAGGCACACACGCGCACGCACACACACGCACAGTCTCTTCTGTCTCGCATGCGCGCTCTTGCTCGCAAGGTTTGGCTGCATTTCACGTGTAAAATTACGCGTCAGAATGCCTTCTGGGTGTGCCGATAGTCTGAATCCATATAGAATCAAGCCAATTCATTGGCAGATGGCGCGGGTGCCGCCTCGACGCACTTACGTCGTCATATTATGTTGGCACGCGCGCGCCATCTGCTCCTCAGATTTCTTTGCCGAAAAAGGAAGCTGGTCGGCAGCGCAAGGAGCTTGGCAGCGTCTCGTTCCCTATTGAGAGAACATAGGTTACACCAGTAACCAGAGATGTTCTCTTTCATAGGTTCACTCAACGCTGCGTAGCTAAGAAGCAGTGGATTTGTAGGCTTGCTTTATCACGTGCCGTTTGAACTGACGCGCTACAGCGATCTGTCACATTTCAAAGAGCCAAAACGTTATTTATTGTGTGAATCTCGTAAAAATATTGACAGAATCTGACAGCTGTGGATTTGTGCCATATCAAAAGTAACCTTGTCTGTCGGTGTCAGTGTCCTCTTTGTCCGCGATTTTTCTCTGCGTGAGAAAATGGATGTGTGGCGTGTGTGAGAGCGTGTGAAAAGGGTCAATTGCGTGAGTCTCACGGTCAATGCGTGAGAGTTGGCAGCTCTGCCTGATAGTAATCTCTATTAATCTCCAGTATTATTACATTGTTTGATACAATATTGTTTTATTTGATATTATGTAAATGTGAATTTTTATTTTATATTGGTTATATTATTATTTGTATTTATATTGTTTAAAGATTTAAGTTAATATTGTGTCCAGTTTGGCCCTGTAAATAAAAGGGTATTATTTTTTATAAAGTGTGTGCGGTTTCGTTTTCTTAAGTACCGTTTCAAGAACCGTTTAGGCACCGGAACCGTTTAAAAAATACCGAGTAGGTACTGGTATCGGATAAAACCCAACCGATACCCAACCCTACTCTTAACCCCTCCTTTCTGCGAGACTACTCTGCTCTAATTGGTCAGATGGCCCAGTCTGTTGTGATTGGTCTACTGCTTACAGCACGTGTCAGAAACAAATGCTCATTACCATAAATGAATTTCTGCTTTTTACCGAATCAATCCGAGCCAGAGTCCTCATCCTTTGGCAGTGCATCCAAAGTGCTTTTTACTTTCACAGCACAGAAAGCAGTGTCTTCTTGAGATGTCGAAAACATGAACCAAACTTTTCCAGGCCTCAGCTACAACTGCAGTTTGAGGGCAGGTCAAATTTGATGTTGTTCACAGGCATCCAATGAAGACCATAGGCTGGCATTATGCACATTGGGGAGACAATAACTTAATTTATTGTGCACTTTGATCTCTGAAACTTTGCAGACTTTTACATTCACAAACAGCTATATTACACACTACATGAAAGGTAATATCTGAAAAAGCAGCATAGGGGCACTTTAATAGCACCACAGTGTTTATACTGTTGTTATAACCAAGTATCTGTATTTATCTGTATAAGTGTCTATTCAAATATGCCATCTTTATAGATTTTCACAAAGACTTATACACCACCTTTTAATAGCTTATTATTTAGTAGCTTTAATAACTATAATTAGTTGATTTTGGGACTAAACTTGACTTTAAAGTCAAAGCATAACATTATTGGGTAATCTCTCTGTCTTTACAGCAGCATGAAGGCAGTGGTCTTATAGACGAAGAGTTCACTGTAGCCAGACTCTATATCAGTAAGATGAAGTCAGAAGTCAAATCGATGGTCAAACGTTGCAAGCAGTTGGAAAACACACAGTCTGAGAGCAACAAGAAGGTGGATGAATCTGAGAAGGAGCTTGCGGCATGCCAGTTGCGCATCTCCCAGGTATGGTTTCACACTCCTCTGCTGGATACTGCCTCCTAAAACACACTTATTTCTTACATGGCAAACCTTTGCTCTATAATCTACTAAACAAAGTTATGAATAAAGTAACAAGTACTTTATAATAACAAATAGATGTTTGTTTTGCAGCATGAGGCAAAAATTAAATCTCTGAGTGAGTATCTGCAGAACGTAGAGCATAAGAAGAGACAGTTGGAAGAGGACGTGGACTCCCTTAATGAGGAGCTGGTCAAAATCAACGCACAGGGTACACAGACTCATACAGATAAAGATTATGCATTTACATGTACTTTTTCAAAACGGGCTGTAATTTTCTGTGCTTCTAATGTTTTGTGTGTGTTTGTGGCCACAGAGAAAGTTCATGCAATGGAGAAAGAGAGTGAGATTCAGAGTGCCAATGAGGTGAAGGTACGAAATGTGTATACACACATACAATTGAGCTTGTTCAGTTTGAATGTTTATTTTAATTTAATGCGAGTGTTTGTGTGTTTAGGATGCTGTTGAGAAGCAGATCCAGAGTCACAGGGAGGCCCATCAGAAACAGATCAGCAGCCTGAGAGACGAGCTGGAAACCAAAGAGAAACTTATCACTGATCTCCAAGAGTACGATGCACATTTCAGTCAAAATAAAGCAATATCAGTTTGAAATTCACCTTTTAAAGTGCATGTTAATATACTGATTGATTTTAAGATGTATGACTGTCATAACTAATCTATTGCTTCACATCAAAGTTAATAGTTGATTTGCAGCAGTAATAATAATACAGCGGTAGCTAATAAATTCTCCCTCTCTCATTCTCCCTCTCTCTTTCTCTCTAGTCGGAATCAGAAGATCATGCTGGAGCAGGAGCGTTTGAGGGTGGAACATGAGAAACTCAAATCCAATGACCAGGAGAAGAGCCGCAAACTACATGAGCTCACGTATGTAAAGCAGTCAGTTCTGTTCATCTTCCTCATTGTAGAGGTTGAGCTGATAAAACCTTGTTTATGAGCGAAATCTCCCTTGTTTCTGTTGTGCATCTGAAGATTTGTGCCAGAATATTGTACAAAGCTTTAATACACCTGCATTGTGTATTTATATGAAATGTATATTAAATTAAAGTTGTGCATGGATTGCTTGTCTTTAGTGATGTGCTGTTTTAATGGTTTTGTGTGTGCATTACAGTATGATGCAGGACCGCAGGGAACAGGCCAAACAGGATCTAAAAGGCTTGGAGGAGACTGTGGTGAGTGCAATTCCTCATTTAAGCACTAAAGGGAGGCAACAGATGACAGTTGTATTCACATCATGTAGCGTGTACATTCAAATATTAAATATTTTCTATCTATTTAAGGCAAAGGAGCTGCAGACTTTGCACAACCTCAGGAAATTGTTTGTTCAGGATCTGGCTACTCGGGTTAAAAAGGTGGGAGTTGATCTGTCTCGTATCATCCTTTAATTTGCATGTACTGTGTCTGTTATCTTTTTGAAAGTCAACTTAATTCTGCCATTTAGGTCAATGTAAATGCATATATTGAGTTTCTTACTAAACAGTCGACTTGGTGGTTGTTTTTTGTGTAGAGTGCAGAGATGGACTCTGATGAAACTGGCGGCAGTGCTGCTCAGAAGCAGAAGATCTCTTTCCTGGAGAACAATCTAGAACAACTCACCAAGGTCCACAAACAGGTAAATCCAAACCAGAAAGTTCCCCTTAATGATTCACACAGGTTACCAAATGTTGAGCAGTTGAAACGGTGTCAAAATCAAAATGTATAAACTTTTATGTTTTTTAAAGATTTCCCTTTTTATAGTCAATTATGCTTTCAAAACAACATACATAGTTTACTAAATGAAGAAAAAGAATAAATCAGGTAATTTAAAGAATGTTGTCTGTCTTTATTCTTTAGCTGGTGCGTGATAATGCTGACCTGCGCTGTGAGCTTCCTAAACTGGAGAAGCGTCTGCGGGCAACAGCGGAACGTGTGAAGGCTCTGGAGTCGGCGCTCAAAGAGGCCAAAGAGAACGCAGCTCGCGACCGCAAACGCTACCAGCTGGAGGTGGACCGCATCAAAGAGGCCGTGAGAGCCAAAAACATGGCCCGCAGAGGACACTCCGCACAGATAGGTGACTGCACAATTCACCTTGATAATAACATTAACGTCTGGTGTCTGTAATTTGGGCTTATAAAAATGAAAAAGTTCATTTTAGTGACTGATCTTTTCTTTCACGATTTGCCTCTATTCTCTGGTTGTAGCTAAACCCATCAGGCCTGGACAGCAACCTGTAGCTTCTCCTACACACCCCAATGTGCTGCGTGGAGGGGGTGGCGTCCTCTACCAGAACAGCCAACCTATGCCCATCAGAGGAGGTGGCGCTAAACAAGAGAAGAGGTTCGTAAGAGAGAATCTGGGGCTTTTGTTTGTAGGAAGACCATAATGCCAGCACATTTGCTGTCATTTTATTTGATGCTTTTCTGACCCACTTGTAGTGTAAACGGAAGGTTATTGGAACATATTTTGACTATTTAATTCACATAATAATAATAATGTCTAACAATAATTACAATTAATAAATGCAACAATAGATTATTATTATTTTTAATTTAATAATTAGAATTAATAATAATAATTATAAAATAAACAATCAATTTATCGAATATATCTTTTTTTGTATCAGTATAGCCAGACTTCACTGTAGTTTTGTGCTGGTTAGTAGCCAAATATTACACCTAGAGAACACTCCAGAAAATGGTTATAAAATAAAAAGCCAATATCAGTTCTCGTTTTATTATGAGCTCTGTTGCATTCTCCTTTTTGCCAGCAGACTCTCTTTTTCTTTCTTTCTTTTTTTTACGGGTGATTCCCCTGAGGTTACCATATGTAATCAGGGTAAAACGAAAACACGTTTTGGAAGAAGGATTGATGTATTCATTATTTAAATTTTGTTCATTTTGAACATAAAAGTTACATAGTGTTTAATTATACAGTTAATTTTATAACTGTATCATACATCTCTTTTAATTTCTTTTATAACTGTTTTAATTTTCCTTGCTTTTATTTTGTGATTATTTTAATTCCTTTCTGTAAAGCACTTTGAATTGCCATATAGTGTATGAAAAGTGCTATATAAATAAACTTGCCTTGCCTTAACATTAAACAATGAATGAAAGTACAGTGTGAACAGCCTCGTGGGCAGAGAGGGATTTTTGAGTATAAAAATCCCTTGGTTTGTTTAGCACAACTTTATTGGATCCTGCTTTCTAACTGCCTTCTTTTCTTGTCTTTTAGCTGAAGACGAGTTTTTTCCCTCACTACCGAAGCTGCGAGAATGCAAGAAGTCTTCATGGAAATGTCATTCCATTAACATAATCCCTCCTGCTGGTGCACATGGGAGGACGTCCCAATCGAAATATTCATGGCTGTACAGTTCCACTCCCCATCTGTTTTGTTTTTTTCCCTCCAAAGCAAATTATTTTATGAATATTGCACTCTCACACGTGCACCGAACATGATATGACAAGGAAATCAAGAAATAAACGTTAGCAAAGTGAACAATTGACCACGACCCAGAAGCCTGTGCTATCAGCTGTAATCTGTCCATTCATCTGCAGTCCTCAGCTGCTCTCTGCACACCTGTAACCTCTGTCAAAACTACTGCCTGATAACCGTGCAAAAGACCTCGCTCCTGGCTTCACTTCATACGGGTCAGGGTCTAGACTGCAGCAAGCTTGAATAGAAAAATACCTGAATAGAGAATATGCAAGCGTGCTCGTCCGCAGATCGCCTGTATCACTACAAACTCAGATATTCCTGTGTGAAAGTACTCTGTCTGAACAGGTGCAGATCTGAAACCCCATGGTTTTTACTTTCTGTTGTAACTAATGGTTGTAAAGGGGAAGGTGGAGAGGATTGTAGACATGAGTAACCAGGCCTTACACAGCAGGCTAATGCTGTAAGTGTCTCAATTTAAACATGTGGTCACAAATGTTTTTTTTTTTTTTTTTTTTACAAAAACAATTGAAGGTTGTCCTGTCCTGCTTTTCGCACATATTACGTCTTGCATATCAAAATTCTTATTTGAAGAGTTATTGTCTATATTTAAGATTATTCTATTAATCATACTTTTCTGCCTGTATCCTCAATACATAACTATGACTATGTATTTAAATGTTTTGGATTTGTATGTTGTGGTCAGTTTTCATGTGTAGAAGTCCTCACGTGACATCATTGCTTGCTCTTCCACTGTTACTGATCAACCAGTCAGTTTAGCAGAATGATGGTATGGGCTGGCTTGTGTTTCAAACCTTAACTTGTATCTCTAAGAGGACATTGCAGAAAGGGGTTGCTTATTTTTTAATTCTCTTTATGAGGAGGTTCAATGAATGTGGATCATTATTATTGAAGCTAGCCTTAAATGATTTTATTTAGACTGTACACTCCTGATATTGTTGAAAAAAAAAAAAGCTTATGAATTGCAAATTACAGGACATGACAACCTTCAGTGTCATTTTTGCTTTCTGGGTGTTTTATACCTTTAAGCGACGTCACCAGGACCATTAAGAGCGCAGTTGTGTTATTAGCCCTAAATTCTTCCCTTTTCAGTGCATGAAGGATAATTAATTGATGTTCATGGGGAATGCCACACATTTAATGAAAACTTCAGATAAATTGCTAATTTTTTTATTACTGTGTAATAGTAACTCCATGACTGATTGACAGAGTTCCACCAATGGACAAAGGCACTGGATCATTCCAACAGTACAAGGTGTTATTGGAAGATTCTGGTTGAAGGGAAAGGGTGAGAGGGGATGAAATTACTGATGACACTTTTTTTCTGGATGGACTGCATGACGTATGTGTGATTAAATCAATATTCTGAAACATGGAAGTTCCTTTCTCCTTTTTTTGATACCTATGATTTGATGTGTCGTTAAGCCTATGAAAAATTGATCACACATGTAAATGACAATGAAAATCTTGTTTCTTGCCAGTCAGTCAGATTTTCTTTTTACCAACCATTTTATACTTTCACTTCATATAAAAGCAGCTCACTATAAAAAGAAACAAATGCACTAAGCATTAAATCTTGTTTTTTTTTTCCACATTTGAGTGCTCAGTAAAAACTTGAATTGACCTTTGCGTTGCATAGACAGTTTCATTGTCACTTTCCCTGGTAGTGTACGTGAAATTGACAAATTCTTTTTGATTGTGAGTTTCTTGTGTAAACCCAGTTTGGGCTACCCGAAAAGTTAAAAATAGTAGGGAAAAAGGATGATTCAAAAAAAGATTGTTGCTCTATTTCCTTTTTGGAGCATGATGACAGTATATATTTTTGACACAAAATCACTTAGGTCTGGAGAGACTGAGTGAGTAAATGGTGTCTCCTGAGATTTAGTTTTTGGATTAACTATCCCTTTAAGTTGAACACCTGCTTTGCTTTGGCTTTACTAGCATGTGACTGTCCACTGGGGGCTCCTGTCCTGCGCTGAATTACCGTGGCAAATAATGGCGAAGATCGTGCATTTTATGTAAGCAAGCAGTTCTATGGGAAATATTTATATGGTAGCTATACCAGGCGTCGTAAGGCTACAAAACTTGTTTTTGGTTTGATTGATATTGTTCCGTGCCTGTGGTTCTGTTCTATTTATAACGCTGCTGCAGAGTAAAGCTGCTTGTAGTCCCTAATAGACAAACATACACCAAAGACTCCACTCCGGAAGTGCTATCACAGTCCTCGAAGCTCTGAGGTAAACTACATTTTTTTCCATGGTTAAAATTTTCTGCTGTCACTTACGCACATCAATAAATGCAGGCTATTTGTTGCTCACTGTAGCAGGCTGTTTGTAGTTATGTGATTTTACTGTAGGCTACTGACAGCAGTGTCAATGTGGCATGCTATAGTATACTTCAAGGTGACTATTAGTATTTTTTAATACTAAGGAGCTCCAAATATGATGATCCCCTTGTAAGAGACCACCTTCCTAAAATATGAAGGAAGCTATATTTGATAATACCCCATTTATATGTAAATGTAAACAAAATGATTGTGTTCAACATATTTTGTTAATGTCTTGAATGTGCATGTTTACTTTGACTGACTTATGACTTTTTTACAAAATCTTTACTTTCTCTTTTAATTTTCATGTATCCTCTAGCACCCCTCGTGGCCCCCTGTGGTCCTGGGACACTTTCACTTTTCTAATTATTTCTATATTATTATTTATATTATATTATTATTATCATTTAAAACTATTGACTTTAGTTTTAGTGTTTTATTTTTGATTTAATTAAACTTAATATTGTAGGATTTATCAGCTATTTATCATAAAAAAAGAATTATTGGTTTATCATAATCATAATTTTATCTTTACGCATTTCTAATTAATTTAACCTAAAATCTTGTTGTTGAAAAAGTTTGTTATATGTCAATTTCACAGTTTCTTTAGTTGCAAGAGCACATGGTAGAAACATTGCTGGAGCGTTGAATAATCACAAGTTTGTATGAGAAATATTCGTATATGTATTTCAGATTAGTTCTAGAAATATGTAATATAATATTTATATACAGTATATCATATTTCATAAGAGACATGCAAATATAATATTTAATATATCATATTTTGTATCCCTTTTTATTCATTATTTATCCCTTACAGTCCCAGTGATGATCTCTCAGATCACTCCCACTCTGTACCTGAGTGGAGTGCAGGCCCTGAATCAGTCAGCGCTGCACCACAGAGGCGTCACTTTGCTGGTGAACGCCTGCGCTGAATATCCCTGCCCCGAGTATGAGGGGGTGAAATGCATTTGCGTGCCGGTGGAGGACCGTCCTCACGCCCCTCTGGACCAGCACTTTGACAGCGTGGCTGAGCGGATCCAGCAGAACCACACTGGAAGCTCACTGGTGTTCTGCTCGGCCGGTAGAAGCAGGTCTCCGTCTCTCATCATGGCGTATCTCATGAGGTTTGAGGGAGTCACACTGCTTCAGGCTCATCAGCGGGTTGTGACTGCGCGGCCCTTCATCCGCCCAAACGCAGGGTTCTGGAGGAAACTGCTTCAGTATGAGAGGAAACTGACCCACTGCAACAGCATCAGGATGGTGGCCACCTCGCAGGGTGTCCTACCTGAGGCCATCCAGCTCACACAGGACTCGTCATACTGCCTTCACCTATAATTCAGGAGGACGTTTTGAACTGGATTTATTTATGGTGTGTCTGTGTTTTAAAACTCTTGATCACGTTTATATGAATCAAAAGATCATGTATTTTTTAAAAACATGTTTGAACATGGTATTAAATACCATGTTATTCCTTGAAGTACCATCATTTACCATTTATGAATATGATAATCAATCAGTACTACCATCTGATACTATAACTGCACAATGGTAAACACAAAAAAAATGAAGTGGTCATATTTGTAGCTTTCTTATAATCTGTGCAGATTAGAATAGCAGCGCCTCACCGCAGTTACTAAAGACTGACTATAATAAAAATGGCTTCGGAGGAGTTAATTGTAACCCTGTAATGCCTGACATGATTTTTTTTTTAAATGAAAGAGTTTATTGAACCTTTAGACAAAATATAAAATAAAATCTAAAACAATTTTGCATATGTGTTTTACGTTTTGTATCATAGATACATCAGGCTTTTATGGCCTATAGTATCATAGTGAGAATATGGAGCTTACATTTGTGATTTTTATAAAATTATAACATGCATATCAGTTGTCACTTTATATCTCATAATAACATAAAATAAGATGACACTCAAATCCTTAGTTTTATTATCAAAGCTCTGTAGTTTTAATTATATATAAAATATAATTCAATGCAATACTACTATAATCGAGCCTGTTTTAACATTTGATATTTACATTTTAACATGAAAAATTATGTAGGTCTATGGATCATCAAGTAACTAATTGCTTCATTCCAATTTTCTTCTTGAAATATTATTTAACAAAAAGATAAAGAAAAAAAGTTTATGTAAATAATTTAAAAGTTCACTTCAAAAAGACCTGTATCACAACCTGAACGTGTACATTTTTAGAATTACACTAAAATGCCTTTGACTTCCCCTACTTAAAAAAGTTTGAACTATTACCTAGACTAGAGGACATAAGGCATGTAGTATATTATGTGCAACAGGCTTTTCAGCGAAGATTTTATCATTTTGATTGTTTAGAGGCCTTAAAAATGTGTTTATCAAAAACGATACAGTATGATTTAGAGTTAATATAATAAGATAATAAAATTATTCAAACTAAAAATCAATTTCATGTCTATTTATTTAGCTAGTTAATACATAAATAGTAATAAGAGAATGATATTGTGAACACTGTCCAGGGCGTTTTCTCTAAAGCATCGTGAGCTAAATTGATCACATAGAGACCATGGTGGCGAATTCTGGCAATAGTTCTACAGTGCACGGGGCGAAATATGATGGGCGGGGCAAAGAACACAGACCGGTTCATGTCGAGTTCATGTAACGTTATGCGTTTTTCGGACCTAAAAAGCTGACCGTGACGATAATAAAGTGACGCAGGTTGCTTCAAAACGCGTCCCTGAAAAGCCAGGTGAGATTCTCCGTGATTTCGTCGTCGTGTTGTATGCCTCTAGGTTTCAAGTGGTTAAAGTTCAAATACCTCCTGTATGTACAGTTTTGTTTTGTGACTGTATGTTATGTGAAGTTACTTCAATGCTAAAAAGTGCGTCAAAGTAATTTTCCACATGCCACTTCATTTACTGCATAATCTTTAACCATGTGTCACAAAAGCTGTCTCCAACAATTTTAGACATTCCAACTAGGTGCATTAGCTTTACCTTTAGCCTACCTTTGTTTTATTTCCTAGAGGAAACCGTATGAGACACCATGGACCAAGACTCAGAGCGTAAGTAGGTCTACTATTAGCTACATGGTAAAAGAAGAGAAAGTCATATGCAAAATATTGTCTTCCTTAGACTGATTAAAAGTGAAGTGGCCAAAATAAGTATTTTCTACACTTAAAAATGTATGGATGTCATTTATTTATTTTATTTTTGCTGATGCTACTTTAATGTTTTATTATTTACTTCTGTGGTTCTCAATCAGGAGACAGGATGACTTAAAATTATATATTATTATTAATAATATAATTAATATAACTGTCACAAACTGTCAGTTTAGTTTTCATTTTCATGGACTTTTAGTTTGATTGTCATTATTTCCTGTTGTCTTTGTTCATGTTTCCTGCCACTTGTTTGTTACCATGGATATTCATTTAATCATCACAGCTGTTTATACTTTGTTTGTTTGTGTTATGTGCATGCTGTTATGCCTTGTGGATTATTTGACTTTAAATTAATATTAAATACCCTTGTATCGGAACCTTTTAACTCTTCTTCATCTTTGGACTTTTATAGTTGTAACTTGTGACATTAACATACTTAATACTATAATATAATTATTAGTATTAATATATATTTAATTTATTATTTAATTATATTTAATGTAAATATAAATTGTATTATTAAAATATAATAATTAAAATATGTATATGTTGAATGTCTAAAATGTGCTGTTTTGACTTCCTTTCTTGTGACCTATTATCATTTTATTATCTCTCCGCCAGGGGCTCAGTTTGTGGATGCCCATTGGGCGACACTTGTCCAGAAAGTAATCATGGTGATGCCGATAGCGGATGAGCTGCGGTCAGCTGGTATGCTGGAGTGGGAGCCGTACTGTAAGATCAAAGCAGCAGATATCAACCAGGAGAAAATGAGAGAGTTTTATGAAGTACTGCACTCTGGAGGAGACAAGGTTAAATCTGCCTTTTATTCTAGTCTGGAAAAGCATGAGCAATCTCTGTTTAGAGACTTGGGTAAGAGCACACTAATTTTGGCTATTATACCACATGCGTCTAGACCTTTGTACTGAGATATGACCTGTAAAATACCTTTTATAGGTAGCATCGCTCAAACTGCAGACGCACTTGTAAAAAGCTTAAGTGAGTATTTCATCTTAATTTGTCAACATGTGTTCAATTAAGTTTTATTTGACTTAAATGCTTGGATGCCTCTTTAAATAAATTAAAAATATGCAAAGTAAAAGGTGTTTTTGTGAGGATATTTTACACAAACATGAAAATTCTGTCATTTACTCATCTCTCTATTACATATAATGGGAATTAATGAGGACTGAGGCTGTAATGCTACAAAATGACAAAAAGCTCCATAGAATTTGTTCAATTGACTTAGTTTTTCGTGATAAACAGACAAAGAGACATGCAAAAACCAATGGTGTTTGTGGTCAAATGGAATTGACGCTCTATTATTGAAGGCCCTACAACATTTGTAAGCATTTTAAAGCTTCAGAATGGATGATTATGAGTGAATATTGACTGCATATGGTCTGTGTCTTTGCTCCGTATCTGTATAACTTCAAAACTCTTGGAAAATGATGCAAGTTGCACGGACCATGATGCTTTTTTTCTGTCATTTTGGGGCTTTACAGCCCCAGTCCCCAATCTCCAGTCACTTTTATTATGGAAAAGAGACAGAAAAAGTAGTTTGAAACCAGATAAGGGTTAGTAAATTGACACAGTTTTCATTTTTATCTAAAATACCCTTTTAAATTAAGTTTAAGTATCTGCATTTTATGTTATGCAACAGTGCTTACAAGCTGATATGTCCATATGTCTAATGAGATTAACAATGAATTATACACAGAGAAATATAAGAAGTGGATCCAGGAGAAATATGAATATGTGAGCGAGTATAACTCTCTGCCTGGTGAAAATGTGCTGTTGTCTGAGCGCTATACACAACCTCTGATCATCACGAGACACAGAGAGAAGAGAGAGCGAGAAGAAGAGATGTGCTCCGTGGGAGAGAGTTTCCAGCAGCTCCTCACCTCCAGGAATAATGCGGACAAGGGCAGCTCGGTCTTGGATGCGCTTTTCAGTGCCGTTAATAAAGGAGTCAGTCCTAGTGCTGTCATTCTTCAGGGGAACTCTGGGCATGGCAAATCCTTCACTGCTCAAAAGATCATGCTAGATTGGGCATCGGGACACCTCAGCAGAGAGGAATTTTATTGTATTTTTCACTTGAAATGTAAAGAAGTGAACCAAATATCTGGAGAGCAGAGTTTGGTGGAGCTTTTGAGCTACAACTCCAATTTAACATCAGACCAGATCTCACAGATCCTGCAGAAGTCACCAGAGAAAGTTCTCATCCTCATTGATGGATTCGATGAGCTCAGGTTTTCATATAGTGACACTTCGAATGCGCCAAAACTCAAGCATCTCACTGAAAAAGCTCCAACCGAGGCTTCTCTGAAGGCCCTTTTGAGGGGCCACATCTTGTCCGAGTCCTTCCTGCTGGTCACCACCAGATCTACTGCTACAAAAATCCTGGGCGATCTACTCAAGCACCCTCAGCGTTTCACAGAGATTATTGGCTTCTCTGAGAGGGAGGTGGAGGAGTACTTCCAGAGGTTCTTTCGGGATGAAGGACTCTTCAGGAATGCTTTTGACTGTGTGAAGGCAAACGAAACCCTCATCACCGCCTGCTCCATCCCTGTTATCTGCTGGATCATCTGCACGGTTATGCGGGAGAGGTTCAGTGACGGTGCGGATGCGACAAGTGGACTGGAAA